GTCTTTTCGTTGTTTCATTTTTCCGCCTAGCGTTTTATGACGAACAACAAAGACGAATCGACAGGTAAAGTAGCCATTGGTATAAGGAAAACTACAGTGAACGATTAAGACACAAACACTCATCACGTGTACCTTTAACCCCGTGATAATTGCGTTACATATGTCACATATTACACCTGACCGAATACCTGACGTCACAGTACAGTGTACTCTAACCAGTGAACGTGGATACGAGTACCATCACGCTACAAACGAAAAGCAAACTAGTCTAAGGCTCCAACATCTACCCACGCCTGTGCTGGTATCTTGTTGTTGGAAAACACGGAAGCGATAAGAAACGTCATGATAAATGCATCAAAAGATGAAATTAGTGAGTAAATATTTTACAAAAATCTGCATTATGGCGTGCTTTTGATGTAGATTACATAGATAATAGAGGAGCGCAAGATTGTCCGTAATGCCGGAACTACCCACGAGTGGCGCCACCGTACGGAACGGGCAGACAACTTTGTATACCGGCAGGGAACCATTCAGGTTTACATATGGCTATACTATTCATAATATATATTCTCACGTCGCCTGAACAGACGTTCGTCGGTGAGATGATAACCAGCAATGAGAGGAGTCGCGGAAACGGAGAACCCGTCAACCAATCAACTAAACAGTTATATATTCTCACACATCCTGTTTTTTATTTAAACATATTTTATTGCACGTAAGAACGATAGGATTGGGTTGGGCACAAGTTTTACAAATTATATCAATCCTTTCCCAAACATATTCACGCACACATATTATATTTACAAGATGGCAGTAGAATAAAACAACAATGAAACAAATATTAACAAGATTAGAGAGAGAGAGAGAGAGAGAGAGAGAGAGAGAGAGAGAGAGAGAGAGAGAGAGAGAGAGAGAGAGAGAGAGAGAGAGAGAGAGAGGGGGGGGGGGGGTATTACACGTACATTGTAAACAAGATATGATAAACAGGAGACAATATTCTTGCTAACAAAATAGAACTTCTAAGTTTTCTAAAAAAAAAAAAAAAAAATGCGGGGGGGACATTCTGTGTTAGTAATAACACTCGCCATTGGTCATCTGGGTTACATTGAAGAAATGCCTCCACTGTCGAATGGGAATCAACTGCCCACGGTTTCGATAATAACCTTAATGAATGGACCGGTTCTTAATTAACAACCATCATCTTATCCATAAATCAGGGTACAATCTAGAATCAACCGTAATATATCTCAGGACATTCAATCTCAAACTGTCTTCGCTGACAACCGGAAATTGACCACCATGTAAAAATGGATCAGCAGAAAAAGAAATCTGTATCAAGCTTTAGGCGTCGTTACAGACATCGGTCCCTGTCGTTTTTCGTCTGAGGGCACTTCCAGTTGACTTAGCAGGAAATAATAGTGTACATGTCACATGGTTTCCTAGAGACATAGGATAGAACATAAAAATAGCGTTTACATTGTTCGAAAAATCAGAAAATGATATTACAAATTCAACAGGACAATCAGCAAACGTTATGAACATGATTCATTCAATGATTTAAGGATATCGAAATGTCATAGTTTCTCCAAAATATGTTCTGTTCTTGTGATGATTTTTTGAAAGGTGGGGTTTTGGAAAGTAATTGAAAAGCAAACAATATCTCGTTGTATTTGATTGCTACAAATAATGATAAATATTGAAATATCATTATCGATGTTTATCTTATCTCTTTATAATGGGATACTTGGCCGTTAAGAGGCAAAAACAGAGAGAATTCTCCAACAATCTTCTTATAATGGAATACTTGGCCGTTAAGAGGTAAAAACAGAGAAAATTCTCTAACAAGCTTTTCATGAGAATGCCTTTATTCTGTTCCGCCTTGGTCTGAAGCATACCTGGTTGAAATGAGACTGATATCAGACATCGTGCTCTAAACGGGAAATTTAAGTTCTTAAAAATCCTTCTTCCGTCCAAGGATATTGGTCTTAAGCAATTTTCATGTTTGTCCACAAGGCCGAGGTCAACTAGGGAAATTATTTTAGAAATCATTTGTCATATTTGAAATTCCTTGTTAAATGACTGAATAGCTGCATTAGCCATGTAAACGATACAGGCCCATAGGGCCTATTTGTTCTTGTTTTGTATATAGAGGAAAACTATCTATATCGGTGGTAATGTTAACAGATTTTATATCTAGCAATACAAACAGGCAGATCAATTTCTATATATCTTTATAGTTGAACTGCTCGTAATAAATGTTTATTTTTTTTAAATTGTAAGTGCAATTAGAACATTTTTTTATTTTCGTTTTAATGACAAGGTATATATTTTGAGAGTAGTATCTGGTCCTATATATGCTCAGGGATTTGTTGGAGTTTATGAAACAGGACAAACTAAATGTAAAAAAACATTTCCTAATAGATCGCTAAGTAATCCTATAAGCCTGACCAGACAGACAGCAGCGGAAATACTGTGCCACTGGGTTTATACATAACCAAACAGATCCGTCACTGCCCAGAGGAGATAATGAAATAATAAAACTCATCAAACAAACATCCTTTACAGGACTATATATTATTGAATTATAAAAGAAACAGGGAAGAAGTAATGGTTGTCCTCAGAACTGAGTTACCACCGCCGTAAACTGCATTAATACCAAGATCGTACATGTTTTGATAAATGTATGTTGGAGGTGTCCGTGCTTAATTGATACTTCACGCGTCAACACAATTGAATGAATGTACATGTAAATAAAAAGATCCACATTCATTATGGAGATGCGAAAATAGCAAGTATTCTTAAATTAATGATGGTCTTTGCATAAAATCCAACAAAGAGTGGGTTGGCTTTTTTTTTTTCTAGGAATGCAGTCTCACCCACTCTAGAGTAATCGGTTATGTATTGTCAACAGGAATATAGAAAGCAGTGTACAGAATATCTATGAGACGACGATAGGTAGGAATGAAGATAAAGAAATAATAGCACCAGCAGCAACTTAAGTAATATTTTCATTTTGTATAAACCGCCGAAAATAAAATACAAACGCACGGTCACCCTTCCGGTGCATCAGGATGGAAAGTGACCTCGTGAAGAAGCATTACCCAGGGGCACACTTATTGAAGATATAACCGTCGAGAAAAACATCTTTTGTTCGATCAATATATTGTTGTTTTATTGTTGATTTGTGATTAACACTGAAGGTTTAATAGTGAATTGGATCCTAAAACTCAAACGTCCTTGGGTTCATCAGTCAAACGCGGTGATTATTGTACTTAAAACTAAAAAACACGACTTAAAGTACCACAAATTATTACGATGAACGCATAACCTTGATGACACATGTTACATTAATTTTCCCATTTGAAGGAATATACAGTCGGTAATAAAAAACAGTGTTATTTTGATAAGACAAGCAATTGCCATATTATGATCTTTGTCTGCCTGCCAAGTTTTGTCATTTATAACGATCATAAATGCCACAACAATGATGTAGAAACATTTAGTTTGTACTCCAAACTGACGCGACGAAGGTAAATGTATATCGAGTCTTTGGGTTTACATTACAGAGAACCAATTATAATAAACAGTTATGTTTTTAAAAAGGTAAGATTTTCTGCTTCATCGGCAGCAAGCATTATACATATACCAGTCTTAGATAGCCTGAAGATGAGGCTGAAACTTGCTGTTAATAGTACAATTTTTTTATAAAAAACCTTTACCATCTCTATATATTTGTATTATACTGCAACATCAGCTAAAACAATTCTTTGACAACCTGCTATTGGCCAAACATGCTGACGGATTCTATTGTCGAGACAAACGAATTGATATGACAATATCAGTAAGCTCGGGAGCACTTTAACAGCGAGATGATATTCATATCATTGATATATCTATCATCGTAGTTTTATGCGCATTAATCCGAGGGTAATCAATACTGAGAATGTTGCGGTCCTCACCTGTTGGAGACAGATCACGCTCTATCATATAAGACCTCAGCATGGATGGTTGTATTTTACTGTTCAGTCGTCACTCCATCCTGTTAGTAGTGGACTTACTGAGACGAAGCCTTGTCAATGGTTTTCTTGTGTGGTGGTAGTGATTTCATTCTTGATCAACGTAGATTTGATAATGTATTTACCCAATGGAGATTGCGAGTAATGTTTGTAAAACGTCATATTAAGTAAATCCTACTTTCCAGTTTTTGTCAACATTTGCCGTGTTTCCTATGTTAAAGGATTTTCCATTTGTTGGACGTTCGAAACTTTTGATCATTCGTGCGACAAAAAGCAAGCATTGGAGCCACGAACACGTGTATCAAAATAGTTGTTGTTGACGCCGTCTTGTGATGTAAAGAACGTCGGAGGTCCCCGTTTCTTGTATTATGTGATACCGTTACGCCGCGAGGAGATTTAGAAGAGAAATACATTTGTCAAATTTGATGGATATGCTGTAGAGTTGTAATCGTATCTCTGCAAACATTCTATGCTTATTGTACAAATATCCTTTTAAATTCCAAGGACCAGGTAGGGATGTTGTGTTTAACGTTTCTTTTTTATCGTTAAACAAATATCACCTTTTACAGCATTGGAACATTTTATTACGTAACCCAAGGATATTTCTGGGTAGTGAACGTTACGTTATAACTTTGATTGTGATATTATCTGTGTGTTACAGTTTAAAAACTCATACGGACTAACATGCGTTGTATACACACCCAAATCTTATGATATTGACCTTGTTTAAAAATTCTCTAGCGAAATACAATTACGGAGCTTAAGTGGTTCGTTTTTCACTGAGTAAGAAATGAGGTTCAGGGGAAACAGAATGATAAAAGTAGTAACTCAATGAAACTGTGATTAGAAAATATAAACATATATACGCAGACTTTGAGTGCATTATAATTACTGTGTTAGGCCATCCAATCATTGACGTTATCTAGTGGTACATTGTGAACGGATTAAATCTTTATCTGAATTAAAATACGCCATTCATTAGAAATGAAATCGACGTTGAACCTGACTAACCAGACCCTGGATATGACAATGGATTTAATCACAAACCTGACAGAAGATTATTCAAAAGGTCGGGAAACTTACACTGACCATAAGGTAAGCAACATTTATCAATATTTCATAGAAAATATCCATTGCTTTTCGCAATTGTCAATTCCGATTTATTAGTATCCAGAAGTTTTTGTATCGGCGATATACCCTAATCCGATTAATGGCTGCTCAGAGTCCTAAATGTGAAGCCTCTGTCATTGAAAAGAAATATACCTCAACATGTATGATATGTGGATGTTGTGTTCCTGGGTGTAATTTCTTCTCCTATTGTTGGCAGATTCTTTGTGGAACTAATCCATCATGTCACAGTTATTCTTTAAGATTAAAAATTAAAATTAAATGATATTGACACCGCCCTTGAAAAACAAGCCTTAGTCTTACTTTGTTGTGGTAAGGGTCCCCATTAACGTATATAATCATATTTTCTTTGTTTCATGCATTTCATGTTCAAACTGATAATATTTCAGCGCTTCGTTTTTCTTTCGCCTATCCTGCTACTGTTTTTTCTGGTCAGTTGTTTTGTATATATGGTATGTGTACCAGCACTCCTCACTAGTAGAATTCTCACTCATATTGTTACATGAATTACTTTTGAAATGAATTAATTTATTGGTGCTACGGATAAACAACATGGACTATCTGACCTTCACCACATTTTCGATACTGAATTACAGAGATATATTCCATCGATAAAAAATCAATGCAACGAAAAACAAGAAAATACCAACATGTCAAGATAATCATAATTGATACTCAGATTCAGTAAAACTTGGGCAAAAATATTAAGAAAAGAAATATTCACAGGGATACTCAAGAAATAGGTACAATGAGAATAAGATCAGGTGTTCCGGAAAAACAAGCGTCTTCTGCTTCCTGCTACATTGACGATACCCGACATGTAATTTTTAGTCAATCCTAGTAAGTCATGATCTCACATGAGAACAAGATATATAACAACGGTACCATTAGGCAAACTCACGAGCATCAAACACGCCCAGTTTTATATCGTACAACGGTACCATCAGGCAAACTCACGAGCATCAAACACGCCCAGTTTTATATCGTACAACGGTACCATCAGGCAAACTAACGAGCATCAAACACGCTCAGCTTTATATCGTACAACTGAGCCAACAGACAAACTAACGAGCATCATACACGTCCAGCTTCAAATCTTTCAAAGAAATAGAATATGTTTCAATGAGAATAACATGACGACTGTAAAACGTAATTTTTTTTCATCAAACTACATTTTGTGAAATCCTGTATTCATTGGCGAAAAAATAACGTTTTACAACATTGATTATTGACTAATCAAAACACTGATACTAAAATAAACCAAAGTAATAATGTTTGGCTCTCTCGTAAAAGATACCAAAATATCAGCCACACTCGTTAAATATCATTTTTTATTACCGAAGACTGTTTAGAATCTTTTATTAATCAGATAACACGGTCGTTACAAAGTGTATTGTTTCATGCACAGCCGTCTAAAGCATCTTTTTCCAAAGTTACAAACAATTCAAATACAGTTTTCTCCGTCTAAAGTCAATCTTGCCTGTTGCCTCTTTAAAAATCAGGGTTTTTGATTTATTTTACTTTGTTGGATGGTTTTTGCCATGGTCATGAATTGATTATGTCAAAGACATATATTCTTTGATATTTTAGATTAATGTTTGATATGACATGCATAACATATTTGACAGAATTTCTAACAATTTGAAGCAAATATTTCGGTTAAGGAATTAATTTCGTTCCTTACAACCTGGTTTTGGTAAATATTTGATTTTAACGAATTCCCCTGTAAACTTCTGCTTTCTTTTCACATTGTCTTTGTTTGATTCTTTCTGAGACAGAATAACAACATTATTTACATATCGGTTCAGTCTTACAGTTTTAATTACACAGATATAAATACCACAATCAATCGTCGACAACTATATCATGACTAGGAACTGGATAGATACAAGTAAAAATACTACACCCAGTCATAAATGTTAGTCGAAGACATACAGGATTAAAAATTGATAGCGTTAACCAGGTTTACAGATATCACATTCACTTTGGCAGCATCTATCACACCAGGGGAAGTACCAGTCATTACGGCAAACTCAACAAATTTACTATTGTGATAGGAAAGAGATACTCATATTCTACAATGGATAAAAATGTCCCAACAACGATTTCTAAAAAATCAATAAATAAACAAATATCCCATAAAAAAAACAAAAAAAAAAAACAACAAAAAAAAAAAAAACAAAACAAAAAAACAAAAAAAAAACAAAAACAAAAACAAAACAAAACAAAAATAATAAAATAAAGTAAAATAACACGCGCAAACACACCACCACATACCCACCCACACCACCACCCACATACGCACGCTCAAATAATGTAAATAAAACATATCATTATTCTACTAGAAGTTTCATAGGAATTTACCACGGGGAAAAAGCAAATGACTGATCATGTAATTTGAACTTCCAGTTTAATTTGACACCAGCAGAATAATAATTTTGAAGATAAACATTGCTCTTTCATGAAGATTCCATTAGTTAACCAGTTAGCTATTTTTGCATTCGTTATTTGCTTATGCATCAACTGTAAACACGTATTCCATTTCAAATGACGTTATGGAAGTCTGTATATCATATTATTTCTGACACGTGTTTCTTATGGCTACGAATGTAACATCCGAAACAAGCCACGTTCGTTTGTTGTGCTATACAATGTGTATAATATAGGAGTCCTTAACGAGATAAAAATGGTTTATACTTTCTCAAACCAGCTTTATGTTTTGGCACACTCCACTGTTTGTGTTACGGCACCAAAAATGTTGAAAAAAATTTTTTTCTTCTGAGAATAAAAATACCCGAAAGACATTACATGTTATTGTAAAAAAATCATGAAACTCAAACGAACTACTTAAATATTTTATACAATTAGTGGAAATTTTGACCTCCGAATTTAATTACAATAGATAACAATCCATACTTTCCTGGTACGTATGTTTTATATCTATAACAAAGGTACGTCCGAAAGTATGACAACACATACTAGCTAAGATCGATAAACAAATGCTCTCTCTGATGGTATCTGAAAGACCATCACTATAGACAAAACTGTCTATAACAGCCTCTGACTCTCTTTGAAACACAATTCATAGTAATTAAACCTCTCTATAAAGGCCACCTAGGATGGTCTTTATAGACAGGTTTGACTCTACCATTATTGTCAGGCATCTCCGCCTCTAAGGGTTCAACACATTAGGTCCTTAGCACAGCAGGCGAATACTGAAAAGAGGAAACAGCTGTATAATAAATTGTCGATTTTACTACAAGGTATATCTAATTCTACATTTTCTAATCACTTTCGCGTCTTTTTTGCACGACCCAGAGCAAAAGGCGATGAATAGAAACATATTTTAATGGTGGATAAACAGATCTTATATACTCTATTGTTTAAAATTTTGTAAAAGACTAACAAGTGATTAGCAACTTTTAATACAAATTAAGACGTAGACACAGTAGAAAAAACAATGAATTAAAGTGCATCAGCTGTTACGTCCATCTAGGACCCATCAGTGATGCTACATTATACAGCTGTTACGTCATTCTAGGACCCGTCAGTGATGATAAAGGTTTAAATGTTGAAGGTTAGGAGGCGACTGAGAAAAATCCAAAGTGATCGATAGAAAAGTCAAACTCTAGACGGGAAGGTGCAGCAGCCCCATATTTAAATAAAATTCGTAATTTCAATATATCAAATAATTTTTAAACAACGTCAAGAACTATTTTTCAACTTGCCTTATTGAGCGTAAAACCACTTGTTGTGTAAAATGTACCGATACGTAAACTGTGTCATAGTTCAAACACAAATACGATGACACTATGGTAAATTAAGAATAATAACCATATCTCTATAATGAGACTTAACTGAATTTTGTATATATTGTTTACAATGATGGAACGTCCGATCCACTTTGTCACTAAACCTCCAACTCCGTCTCGCGTGTTTGAGGCTTTGATAGGGCTGACGCCAGTTACTGGACACAGGTCAGTGTTTTTTTCTGCGGCTTTCCCCTAACACTCAAACCTGCTTCGTCCTTAAATGACCTTAAATGACCCTGGTTGTTACTATAACGTACCCCAGCAATAAACCAAACAATGGTGGCAGCACATAAGAATCAATATACTTAAATAATGGACGTATTTATTTTCTATGGAGAATGTTAGAAATGATGAGGGCGTTATTTAATCACCATATTTCTCACACAAATCTGCCTACTCAGTTATTTCAAACGAGGATTGGTCCGTTCTTATTTATGACGATGACCTGATAACGACACACTACACAGAAATTCATTTAGATTGAAATCATCTAAGTGTATTTGTGTATAGAGACTGCTGCCTTAATATGGAGATAAATGGGTTTGTTTAGGATTAAGTGATTGATACTGGACGTTTTCACTCGATGATCACTACTTTGTATCAATACCACTCCCTCTCTATTGGTCATCTGTTAGGATTCGCCACAGATCTATTTGTCTAAAATGAAAGTGCGATCTTTTTTGTTCTGTGATCACATAGTGACAAGGCGATTGATAGTTTATCTGTATTTTATGGCACCGAAGGTTCCCATGCGAAACTCTATACCGTTCACATATCGTCTACGCAGCAGACCATGTTTGGTAAATGTAACATCATGAGTTGTTCCCCTTTAATGATAGGTTAGAGTAATTAGAGTTATCTCCCGGGCTCTTTGAAGTCCATGTGCTTGGTCGGCCATGTTGTGCGTCGAGAGTCATGCTTAAAATAAAAGTACATTAACAGCCTTCTGACTCCGCTTCGTGATGCAACTGTGGAAAGGCATGGAACTTTCCTAAATTCGTTTGGCTTTGAATTCTTAACTTTTTATATAGATATTTTTTACATAAATGAATTCGGACCTAATTTTCAACGCATAATCACATTTTGCCAAATAAACGCAATGATTAATTCGCGCATTCACTATACATGTTTTACGAACAACCAACAACAGTTGATACGATATGTTCCCACTATCTATTGACGGACAAACTCGTGACACAGGGTTTCAAAAGATGTAGGTTGATAATAATTATTGGGAAGTTTTACGGTCGTCATAGCGATCTCATTGAAAAATAGCCATTCTTTTGTGAAGTGAAGCTGGACGTGTTTGATTTCTTTGTTGAATACTTTGTTCTCATTTGAGAACCTGACATTACTTGGCTTGACCAAGGTTTGCATGGCGGGTGACGTCGATGAATCAGAAAACGCTAACTCTTCTGGAACACCTGGCCATATTCTCCTTGTACGTTTTCTGTGGTAATCGTTTAGATTTTTTTCGTTCACATTTTGTCCGAGTCTTGTTGAATTTGAGTTTGTATTATGATTATGGTGACATGTTGGTATTTTCTTTTTTTATAGATTTGATATAAACCTATACTTCATCGTCAAAATGTAGCGAAGTTCCGGTATTACATTTCATTTCATAAGTAATTTATATCATAGTTTCGATTAAAGACAACGCTACGTAGCCATTTTGAAAGTAAAAGCTATTTGAATTAAAACTGACTAGGGTATAGTGACTTTGTAGAATGATAATATCGTTAATGTGTCACATGTACGAGAGACATGCTATATAGCTAATTAACTTCAGTTCAAAGAACAAAGACTAAACAATCACATCTGTTACATCAATGCTGTTGCGACTTCTATTATCGTAAAACGTACGTAAACACATATCTATAGGATAAAATTGTTTCCTGGGGTTTTTTTGTACGAGATTGCCACGTCGCATTTATTGATATGAAAATGGGTCCCTGCAAAAATCAAGAATCGACACACAAGTGAATAAAAATAAAGATTAAGAATTAGATACAACATAGATAAATAATATCTATCAGCTATAAATAGCTTATATCACATGATACAACACTTATATATATCTATTACACAGAAAGTTAAAAAAGAACGATGTTTTATATAATAACAACTCATTTCTTTTTCTTAAGGAATAGGTCTTATTCACCTTGTGCATTATTGTGTACCTGTTAGTTCCGCTTTTGTTTACGGTTTTCCATTTGGGAACGTGACATTATTTGCTTGGATTGACCCAAATTTAAATGGCGAATGTGGTCGATGACGCCTTCGGAACGTCTCGTCTTACTTTCCTTACTTTTTCAAAAGTCTCCGTGTTAACATATCTTTTGTTAATGTTTTGTTTTGTCGAGGTTTTAAACTTGTCTAGTGATTCTCTATTCTCATATTCATGTATTTGTAAGGTCTGTTTATTTATATTGTTTCTATTGTAATCGTGCAGACATTTAAGATGCAAATATTGAAATTCATAAATATCAATAGCATTTAGCTTAAAATGGGCAATTGTTATTTTGTGCAAGTTTTGTATAGACTGAAGGTGATGGACAATATAACAGACGAAAATTGAAATGTCGAATTCAAAATGATGTTTATAAAATATATAACGTAGTTTACATTTCTTATTCATAGTAATTGTAGATTTTCAAAACAAATTCAAAACTTGAATCTGTACAAAATAAGAAAATATAGGAATTGTATTGTATCAGTATTGTAGTAAACATTCCATGTGTTAAATGTTGATATAATGTGAATATCACATGTAAATATAGAAACATTATTGTGTTGTTATTGTGCTGTACGAGTTGTTAATGTGTTGTTATTGTGTTGTTATTGTGTTGTTATTGTGTTGTTATTGTGCTGTACGAGTTGTTATTGTGTTGTTATTGTGTTGTTATTGTGTTGTTATTGTGTTGTTATTGTGTTGTTATTGTGTTGTTATTGTGTTGTTATTGTGTTGTTATTGTGTTGTTATTGTGTTGTTATTGTGTTGTTATTGTGTTGTTATTGTGTTGTTATTGTGTTGTTATTGTGCTGTACGAGTTGTTATTGTGTTGTTATTGTGTTGTTATTGTGTTGTTATTGTGCTGTACGAGTTGTTATTGTGCTGTACGAGTTGTTATTGTGTTGTTATTGTGTTGTTATTGTGCTGTACGAGTTGTTATTGTGTTGTTATTGTGTTGTTATTGTGCTGTACGAGTTGTTCGGTTTCTGTTTACTCCTTATCTTCCTGTTGCGATGATTCTCAGCAACGTGTTTTCATAAGACCACGATCTCATTTATTCTGATGTTGCTATATTGAGAACTTGTATGGTTGTAATCCAGATAAAGGATTTGACATCGCTATCCACTGAAGAAGGTTTTATTTGGATTTTATTTGATTATTTAAGGTTCTAGGCCTAGAAGCAGCTATTATTATAAAAAAACAACACCTACAAAGGATGGGCCACACAAAGACATCTTTTTATATATCATCACGCAGAATGTTTATAAACCAAACACTGTAGCACCAAACCATAACCTACACACGGTAGTATGACCCCCAACAATAACCTACACACGGTAGTATGACCCCCAACAATAACCTACACACGGTAGCATGACCCCCAATAATAATCTACACACGGTAGCATGACCCCCAACAATAACCTACACACGGTAGCATGGCACCCAACAATAACCTACACACGGTAGTATGACCCTCAACAATAACCTACACACGGTAGTATGACCCCCAACAATAACCTACACACGGTAGGATGACACCCAACAATAACCTACACACGGTAGTATGACCCCCCAACAATAAGCTACATACGGTAGTATGACCCCTCAACAATAACCTACATACGGTAGTATGACCCCCAACAATAACCTACACACGGTAGTATGACATCAAACAATAACCTACACACGGTAGCATTCCACCCAACAATAACCTACACACGGTAACATGACTCTCAACAATAACCTACACACGGTAGTATGACATCAAACAATAACCTACACACGGTAGTATGACTCCCAACAATAACCTACACACGGTAACATGACTCCCAACAATAACCTACACACGGTAGTATGACATCAAACAATAACTTACACACGGTAGTATGACTCCCAACAATAACCTACACACGGTAGTATGACCCCCAACAATAACCTCCACACGGTAGTATGACTCCCAACAATAACCTACACACGGTAGCATGACCCCCAATAATAATCTACACACGGTAGCATGACTCCCAACAATAACCTACACACGGTAACATGACTCCCAACAATAACCTACACACGGTAGTATGACATCAAACAATAACCTACACACGGTAGTATGACTCCCAACAATAACCTACACACGGTAGTATGACCCCCAACAATAACCTCCACACGGTAGTATGACTCCCAACAATAACCTACACACGGTAGCATGACCCCCAATAATAATCTACACACGGTAGCATGACTCCCAACAATAACCTACACACGGTAGCATGACACCCAATAATAACCAACACACGGTAGCATGACTCCCAATAATAACCTACTCACGGTAGTATGACCCTCAACAATAACCTACACACGGTAGCATGACACCCAAAAATAACCTACACACGGTAGTATGACTCCCAATAATAACCTACTCACGGTAGTATGACTCCCAACAATAACCTCCACATGGTAGTATCACCCCCAACAATATGTTAAAGAATGGGTTTTACTGTCTACTCCTTTGGCCAAGATTTAAGCGTTTGTGCCGTTTTTGCTGTTACCTTATGATAATCTAATGCCTGTTATTTTACAGCTTCTTTGGAACATCGCCACTGGCATTATCTGTGCGGAGTTTGTATTTGCCTTTGCCTTGAACGCGATAGTAATAGGACTACTGTTGAGGAACAAGAAGAGAAACCGAATGTCCTTCTTCGTACTTCATTTAGCAATATCAGGTAAGAATGTTACTCACGATGTTTCCGCCATTTGTTTAAAAAAGCCAAGTATGTATATCTTCACTTTTAAAAAGGTCTAGGAAACTAGAAAAGGGAAAAAACAATTAATAATGATTAATACTGTTTGATTAAAGAACCCATTGTTATGTAATTAATGTATGAAGGCCACGTTCGCCTTCATCTAGGCAACCGGGATCGCTGGGGTCACCTGACTCTGTGATCTTTTGGGTCTTCCCCAGGTTCTCAGGCCTCCGCACAAAATACAACAACAAAATACCAACGTGTCAACATAATCATAATCCGAACTCACATTCAATAAAACTAGGACAGAAACAACAAAATACCAACATGTCAACATAATCATAATCCAAACTCACATTCAATAAAACTAGGGCAGAGACAACAAAATACCAACATGTCAACACAATTATAATCCAAACTCACATTCAATAAAACTAGGACAGAAACAACAAAATACCAACATGTCAACACAATTATAATCCAAACTCACATTAAATAAAACTAGGACAGAAACAACAAAATACCAACATGTCTACATTATCATAATCCAAACTCACATTCAATAAAACTAGGACAGAAACAACAAAATACCAACATGTCAACATAATTATAATCCAAACTCACATTCAATAAAACTAGGACAGAAACAACAAAATACCAACATGTCAACATAATCATAATCCAAACTCACATTCAATAAAACTAGGGCAGAGACAACAAAATACCAACATGTCAACACAATTATAATCCAAACTCACATTAAATAAAACTAGGACAGAAACAACAAAATACCAACATGTCTACATTATCATAATCCAAACTCACATTCAATAAAACTAGGACAGAAACAACAAAATACCAACATGTCAACATAATTATAATCCAAACTCACATTCAATAAAACTAGGACAGAAACAACAAAATACCAACATGTCAACATAATCATAATCCAAACTCACATTCAATAAAACTAGGGCAAAATAAGAACAAAAGAAAACTTTACAGAGAGACTCCTGAAAAATTACAAGGAAATAAGACCAGTGTTTCATTGCAAGTAAATATCGATTGTTTAATGCGGCTAAATGTCATTGTCAGGTTAACACAGAGTCTATGACACACATATAAAGATAGAGGAAATGACCTTTAACCTTGTACCGGAAACTGACCTTGATTTCCAGTTTAATGGCTGTATAAGTAGACAAGTTCTGACATTTATGTAATTAAGGAACAAAATGTTATTATGATTCAAAATGAAAATGTAAGACATATCGAGATATTTCCATATATATGACTGTGTGACTTCCGTCATAACTATGTTATAAAACAGTGGGTTGTCTTTGTTCTGATTCACCATCAGCAGCGGCTTTTTCTATTTGACACAAACGTCTGTCTGATGTTGATTCAGAAGCCGGGACCATGACAATAACTTTGACACTTATTCTAAGAGCCTGTCAATACGAGTGTTGCTTGCTTTCATGTGTTTCATTTGTGCTATTTCTTATTTATCTCCTGGTGAGTTGATCTGACAATAGTTTAAATAACGAAATTAGATTGAAAAAAAAACCCAACAAAATACTTATATTTCAACATGATCATAATCCAAACTCAAATATTTACACGACGGGACTCCTGAAAAAGTACAATGAGAATAGTACCATGTGTTCCGGAAGAGTAAGCGTTCTGTATGTGATAGAGACGTGCAATAGTCAATTGACAGTAGGCCAATGGAAGACAAATCATATAATTCACTGAAGCCAAAGAAATCAGAAAAGCGGACATTGTTGTGCTTTTAGTAATTTATCAGCTTAGTTAGGACGTATTGAGGAACCTAACTGTTGGAGAAAACAAAGAAATTCGGAGTCAAAACCCGGATGACCGGGAAAGTAACTCAATTTATTTTCACCGCTAACCGATGAATATATGTAAATTGTATGAACATTTATGTGTAACAATGTATTTCAAAGTCAGAATATTGCATACAGTTGGCAATTATTTCATTTAGATTTCAACAACGTAATGTATATACTACATATCCTGTCTGTTTCAAGTTGTTATGATACACTGCAGTGTTCGTGTGAATAACCATTCTTGGTCATCTGTCTGGGTCGATAATTTTAGTTTGTTTTGTGTATGTTTTCTGTCTATTGAAGTGTCAGAACGTGTTTAGAATAAAAGGTGAATCGTATGTTGCTTATTCTAACAGGTGTGAGACAGAACAGCAGTGTGTCAGGGAAACCATTAACTAGTCGGAACATTATCTCTTTAATTTGTCTACTGTTTCACTTCTCTCATAACTCAGTAAGAACTCTACTCCTACACGTCGATAGAAAGTTAAAGAAACAAAAAAAGTGTATTGGGTATATTCACTCGTGATGTAAACTCGTCAAAGATTCCAAAATTTAGGACACATTCATGACATTTTTGGTATTGATGCAAATATCTTTTAAATCTACTGTTCATATTAAGTATCAAAAATCACCATTGTGACCCGGACTGGTGACATAGCACGGAAGGAAACTGGAATATCTAAAAAATATTTCATGGAGAATAAAAATAAAAATAAAAATCTATGACATGATTTTGTCATGGTTGTTGATGCAGTAAGAAGAAAGTTACCTTCTGCAACGCTTGACCTTATTGTCTTTAAACTTCTTGAATTGTTTCTATGTAATTGATTTTAATCAAACAATATCTTTTTTTATACCGGTTTTTGCTTCCTGTTGTTACCTGTTGTTGGTCTCCTTACATCTTTGACTTCCTAGTCACGATGGCTATTTTGTAGGACAATCTAATAATTATAACTTTGCTAAACATCATCAGATTTAAACGTCTGCTTTTTCAAGTATCAAAGTTGGGATTCAGCCCAATCTTGACTGAAATGATCTTGAGATGGTCCTAACAATTGTCGCTATTTCTCGGGTATGCACGAATTCCAATATAGCCACCATCACCACCATCTCTAAAAAACACAATTGAGCTTCTTGCCCAGTTCCACTAGTGCCTTTGAGCTGAATTGTGTTAGAACTGGCGAGAAACGAAATGTTTTTTTTTTATATACTTTTACTGCTAAAATGTAGGACAATTTTAAATATCTTATTGTTTTCTATAATATTACTGCTATAATTTTATTTGCAAGTCTTTACATTCAGCTGATTGTTGAGAACATTGTTTTATCATCAAGGTCACAACAAAAAACCCCACCCGAAATCATAGCTGAATAGGCGAAAGTTGTATCTTTCATGAAACAAACATCTGACTCGAAAAGGCCACTCGGGGGATTGAAGTACCATCGATAACCTTGACTAATTCACGTCCCAGAGGTCATTGCAAAGAAAGGGAATCTCTCAATTTGACTCACAAATGCAGACAGCGGCGAACAATCATATCAAGAACGTTAACAAGATTTTATCTTCCAGAAGACAAGTAATTATTGCAATGGAATACTATAATTTTCCTAGTGTCAGCTTTGAAGTCTACAATTATTTTCCTGGTGAGGAGTAATATAAAGATTTACTGGACCAGAAAGTCCACATATTACCAGAGGATTAGACCTTCGGGCAGTGTGACAACCAAGGGTTGATAAACTTCATATTAGTCTGAATTCATGGTCAAAATATATGATTAAACCAAAATGAAAAAAAAAATAATAAAAATAATGAGTGAATTCAACGATATAGCATTGTGTAATAAATCCTCTTTTACATCGCCGGTCTACTGTTTTGTAAACAGCGAGGCTATTTGAAATCTGCTTTACGGGGATATACCACCATTACATGTAGCAGTGTCTGTGACGTCATTGAGGACTTAACACGATACATAATTCTCAACAGTGATTGATATATAATAGTCATCTTCAGAACCACAATCGGTCACAACCCAGATCTGGTGCAGGACCTATTCCAAAACATCTATAGTTCATATACTATTCTGTATAGCATACCTTCAGCTAGACAACTAGACGTCGGTTAAATCAATTTTAACTTTTGTACAAACAGATATGTTATAACCATGTAAAACATGCCTTTAACTAGACGTCGGTTAAATCAATTTCAGCTGTTGTATAAACAGACATGTTATAACCATGTATAGCATGCCTTTAACTAAATGTCGGTTAAATCAATTTCTACTGTTGTACAAATAGATATGTTATAACCATGTATAGCGTGCCTTTACCTAAACGTCGGTTAAATCAATTTCTACTGTTGTACAAATAGACATGTTATAACCATGTATAGCGTGCCTTTAACTAGACGGCAGAAAAATCAATTTCAATTTTTGTATAAACAGACATGTTATAACCATGTATAGCGTGCCTTTAACTAGACGGCAGAAAAATCAATTTCAATTGTTGTACAAACAGACATGTTATAACATGTATAGCATGCCTTTAACTAGACGGTAAAAAATCAGTTTCAATTGTTGTACAAACAGACATGTTATAACCATGTATATCATGCCTTCACCTAGACGGCAGTAAAATCAATTTCAATTGTTGTACAAACAGACCTGTTATAACCATGTAAAGCATGCCTTTAACTAGACGGTAAAAAATCAATTTCAATTGTTGTACAAACAGATATGTTATAATCATGTATAGCATGCCTTCACCTAGACGGCAGAAAAATCAATTTCAATTGTTGTACAAACAGACCTGTTATAACCATGTAAAGCATGCCTTTAACTAGACGGTAAAAAATCAATTTCAATTGTTGTACAAACAGACATGTTATAATCATGTATAGCATGCCTTCACCTAGACGGCAGAAAAATCAATTTCTACTGTTGTACAAACAGACATGTTATAACCATGTATAGCATGCCTTTAACTAGACGTCAGTTAAATCAATTTCAATTGATGTACAAACAGACATGTTATAACCATGTGTTAATTGGCTGTCAGAAGGAACTTCGAACAAAACAGCGCTTCACGCACCGAAGAAAATTGTAGAATGCACAATAAGTGATTCATGGTTGATTTTGTAATAATGATTAGAGTTCTAATCTAACTTCTAATCCCCTTTTCTTTCATTTAATGAAAAACCAATTTATGTCCCATTATAGCTTGTAACAAGTTACGACATCTTCACGTAATTCGGTAATTCACTTAAGGCCATTTCATTACACCCGAACTGGTAACGTAAACAAACCACATTCGGTACAGAGCAGGTCAATTCAACTGTAGAATTGTTGTGGTAGAAACAGGTAACACAAACTTGTGGTTTTCAAAAGTTTCAAAAACACTCGCTTAAGTTCGTGTTTTTTTGGATTTTTTTTGTTTTTGTTTTTTTGCTTGTTTTTTTGTGGGGATTTTTTTTGTTTTGTTTTTGTGACTCTTAAAACTAACTATCTCGAGTGAAGGAAAAGACACCTAATTTTATTTGACATTTCATTACAAATTTAGAACGTCCTACATGAGAGTCAAATATCGAATTAAATGCATCATACACTAATCCTCTTTTTATTGACTGGTCAGAAAACACGTGACATGATGTGGTTTACTACTAAGATTTATCATCACTTTGCTGCCACATTTACGTTCAGCTATACCTCTAACAAAAGGCACCATTAACCATTGCTTGTAGGGAACATAAGTCTGAAAGTGATTTCTTTAATCCGGGTCCTTTTCTGTTACTGTTTACATTAGAGTATTTATCAATTTGAGTAAAACATGTGGCATGAACACTTGATTTTTAAAATGATGTAAAATAAATAATGATAACAATACCAGAGTAGTACCATGTAAGTATAACGAATTGTGAATGTCTGAGTGAAAAAATTACATAAAAAAGGCGTATATATAATCGTTTAATTAAGTTATATGTCTGAGAACATCGGAATTCACCTACTGATAGAGCATATGAAATATTATCATCAAATGAAGACTGAATCATGCTTTGCTAACACAACAAAAACCTGTATATATTTTTGTAACGTAATTTGTATTTTCCAGACTTCTTGATGGCTGTTTTCTACATCTTCCCCGCTGTAATTGACAGACTCTTGGACGCCTGGCTTGCTGGTCTGTTTATGTGTAAACTTATCAAGTATCTAAATTTGGTGGTGTGTTTCGCCTCGACTTATATGTTAGTGGTGTTAAGTATTGACAGATTATACGCTATCGCACGACCCTTGTCCGCGACCAGGAGAGGCATTGTCTACCAGTGGACGTTGGTCAGCTTTGCTTGGGTCATCGCTGCAATGCTGGGTATTTATGATCCAATATTCGCCGACATACTTACAGGAATACCCACTCCACGTCATGAAACACCATTCTGTGAGATAGCCTACCCAGAACATATGGTAAGTACACTTTTATCCAAAGGACAATAAACCGTCCCGCGAACTAACATAGAATTGTAAAAACACATGCTAATTAACACAGAAAACAACCCTGGGCACCACCACATCCGGAAACTATCAAGAGATTCCCGTACCCGTTTTACTAAACATCCTTTTGTGAAACAAGGTTTTAAAGAAAACATATAGTAAGTAATCCTGATACACCGCGGTTAACACCAATACGTGAAATAGTATATCTATAAAATAGTGAAAATCCTACCCCAAAATAAAGTATAGTGAAAATCCTAACCCAAAATAAAGTATAGTGAAAATCCTACCACAAAATAAAGCACAGTGAAAATCCTACCCAAAAATAAAGCACAGTGAAAATCCTACCCCAAAATAAAATATAGTGAAAATCCTACCCCAAAATAAAGTATAGTGAAAATCCTACCCCAAAATAAAGTATAGTGAAAATCCTACCACAAAATAAAGCACAGTGAAAATCCTACCCAAAAATAAAGTATAGTGAAAATCCTACCACAAAATAAAGCACAGTGAAAATCCTACCCAAAAATAAAGCACAGTGAAAATCCTACCCCAAAATAAAATATAGTGAAAATCCTACCCCAAAATAAAGTATAGTGAAAATCCTAACCCAAAATAAAGTATAGTGAAAATCCTACCACAAAATAAAGCACAGTGAAAATCCTACCCCAAAATAAAGCACAGTGAAAATCCTACCCCAAAATAAAGCACTATAAAAATCCTACCCCAAAAATAAAGTATAGTGAAAATCCTACCCCAAAATAAAGTATAGTGAAAATAAAGTGTAGTGAAAATCCCTACCCCAAAATAAAGTATAAAATAAAGAAAAAATCCTACCCCAAAATAAAGTGTAGTGAAAATCCTACCCCAAAATAAATTATAGTGAAAATTTTACCCAAAAATAAAGTATAGTGAAAATCCTTCACCAAAATAAAGTGTAGTGAAAATCCTACCCCAAGATAAAGTGTAGTGAAAATCCTACACCAAAATAAAGTGTAGCGAAAATCCTACCCCAAAATAAAGTATAGTGAAAATCTTACCCCAAAATAAAGTATAGTGAACATCATACCCCAAAATAAAACATAGTGAATATCCTACTCCAAAATAAAGCACAGTGAAAATCCTACCCCGAAATAAAGCACAGTGAAAATCCTATCCCGAAATAAAGCATAGTGAAAATCCTACCCCAAAATAAAGTATAGTGAAAATCCTAACCCAAAATAAAGTGTAGTGAAAATCCTACCCCAAAATAAAGTATAGTGAAAATCCTACCCCAAAATAAAGTGTAGTGAAAATCCTACCCCAAAATAAAGTATAGTGAAAATCCTACCCCAAAATAAAGTGTAGTGAAAATCCTACCCCAAAATAAAGTATAGTGAAAATCCTACCCCAAAATAAAGTATAGTGAAAATCCTACCCCAAAATAAAGTATAGTGAAAATCCTACCCCAAAATAAAGTATAGTGAAAATCCTACCCCAAAATAAAGTATAGTGAAAATCCTATCCCAAAATAAAGTATAGTGAAAATCCTAACCCAAAATAAAGTGTAGTGAAAATCCTACCATAAAATAAAGTATAGTGAAAATCCTACCCCAAAATAAAGTATAGTGAAAACCCTACCCCAAAATAAAGTGTAGTGAAAATCCTACCCCAAAATAAAGCACAGGGAAAGAAGTTTTTCGACGCCAAGGTTCATCTTTCAGTGTGAAAATGACCCACTTTTATATATATTTTCGTGGAGCTCAACTTTTTCAATAAAATGCTATCTCCTGTGTACCTCATTTATCCATACTAGATATAGTCACGAAACCTACGGAAACAAATTTGCACGGAAGTTGACGATTTTACCGTAAAAGTTGGTAAAGTTGTTCGAAGAACAAATCCCTTGTGTATTCATGACGAAACGTTTTCCTGAAATTCGACCAAAAACCACTGAAAGGAAATTTTGGACAATGCAGACAATTTCCATTTTTAAGATCAGGCGATTAATATCGGGTTTCAGTTCCGATTTCCTTCGTGTTTCATGATGTTATAACGATCAATATCCGTTTGTCAGAATAAATTGTTTCCTCTGATTGAGATGAGATTCTTAACGAACGACATCAAAGGGAAGGTCGTCAGTATATTCATGTCTGGACTTGATCACAACTGAAAACGACATTACAGGGACGTAAAACAACATGGAAACAGGGCTTAATGGGTTAGCGTTATGTTTGTCCTAACGAATCCGATTTCCCCAGCGACAAAATCTCATTGTAATTTCATTTTGCCATGGAGCCTATTTACTTAATAATTATGATTTAATGAATGTCTTTATCAACTCGTTATATGCAAGGGAATGACGTTGTTTGTAATGCAATTTATAAAAAATTACAAATTTTCTTGTCCATCTCAATCGGTTCCCATTCGCTCCTTCCCTATATATACAACAGTAAATTCTTTCCTTCTTTGAGTTTAAATTATAATTCTGTTGCCATATTAGTGTGTTTCATGTTTTTTTTATCTATTTCATCAGAATTGCAATAGCATATGTTGTCAGTTTACAGACACCAACTATCAACGTAATAGTTATATTGTGAGATAATTTCATAAGATTTTTCAGCTGTATAATGATATCATACAATACACAGTGTTGTTCACAGGCGAATAATGACCTAAATTTATCACCACCCAGTGCACTTTACACGTCAGTGCTAATAAGTGTCGCACAAGGTGTCATTTGTCTGATGAAATGATAATGTAACAGTTGGTTATGAAATGAACATTAATAACTAAAGGCCCCGTAACCTGATCGATCGGAGGATTAATACGAATTACAGAAATTACAAAAATTATATCACCAAATTACCACGAATAACGTAATTTAGGTGTCGTGAAAAATCCTGTTATACAATAACTGGCAATTTCGCAACAGTAAAATTGTAGTGTCATATGATAATAGGCTGGTCTCAACTGTACAACATTACAACTACACAACGCATCTGGATATGGGCGGCTCCATGCCCTTCAGCGATAGGCTAATCAGTGTCATGATGAATTCTACAAGTGTCGACCTTAGAACATAATGATATATTAGTGATGTAGTAGAGAAAATTCTATTCAAAAAGAAAATTAGACAATCCGTCGACAGTGAACAGTTAATTTAATGATGATCGAAACATTGGTAAAAGTTTTTAATTGGGCTAGTGGATGGGGTATTATTTTTAATCTAGAAAAGGCTGTGTCCTGAATCTTTTCTGGGCGGATCGATTCCAAGATGTTGCTTCCTGACTTGTATTTTAACAAATAAGTCATTAAATATGTTAGTAGTCCTACACATCTTGGTAACACATTTAACAGTGGCGCTAATTGGTTCAACCATATCAACCGTATGAGAAATCATACAAACGAATAAATATACTCAGGATGTTGGAATTTAAAACTGACAGAGAATCACTTGAGTTAATAAATAATGCATTTTGTCGTCCTATTCTGAAATACGCTGATATAGTATGAGCAAATTGTACGGAACGAGAATGCAGCATCAGGAAGTTAATCTAAATAGAGACAACACACATAACACCTGGTTTGAGGTACACGTCTATATAGTCTGGCCTGCTATCTCTAGTAAAACGGAGGCATGTAAATCAAAATATTCATTTTTTGTAATATTTAAAGACATAGAGGTTTATTGATTCAACCTAACGTTTTTTGATACTGATCATTATCCCCTTAGACACAACATACTCTTTGATGTGCCACTGACAAGAATTCAGCAATGCAACATAACTCCCCCACCCCCCCCCCCCCCAAAAAAAAAAAAAAAAAAAACCTTGTCCATTTTCCACGAGACATATATAAGTCAGTAAAAATACATTATGGAAACAGAAAGATAAACTTAATTCTTTGTCGACTAAGAACATAGTAATCTTAATTCGTATTTAGTTACTACTCACCTGGTAAATAGCGCTGCCTTTAATTGTGGACATCCTAAAGAGGGTTGTAATTATTTCTTCATCCGTTGTCCTCTCTCCTCTAATCAAAGACATCTCCTTAACTCTCTCTTTACTCTTAATGATGCCATAGCTCTGAATACACAAACATTTCTCAATGGTTCTCATGTACTTGATGCAAACTTGAATAAATGTTTAATCGTTTGTTTCTTATGTATGACAAACTATAGAACTGTGTTAAACATACATATATTAAGTAAAGTTTGCTCACTTCGAAACGCATGTATTAAAAGTTATGATTTTTTCTACTTTATTTTCAGAAAAAGCCCATGATTTTGCTATTTGCCATTGTGAACATGTTCGTGCCAGTGTTGATAATTGGACTTTGTTATTCAACTATCGTTGCTATGATATGGAGAAGAGGGAGACAAGGCGTGTTATTAAGGAAGCATGAACACACCGGTAAGATTATGATATTGTATGTTAACGCGAGTTTGAACTTTGATATTTAATAAATTGTCTTGCACGTGATGACGCAGATTAAACATCATTGACGATATCAGATGAAGGCCTTAAATAGTATATCATTATTCTTCCTGTGATTACACGGCAACCTTCTGCCGAACATGAATAACATTGATATTATTTTGGGCTTAACACACCCACATACAGCTTATTTTTCTAATACAGATCAAAACGGAAGATTAACATTGATCTGAAACAAGTATAATGGTATATATGTGTTTCGAATTTCTTCAAAAAGATAAGCAATAACAGAACATTACAGCATTGCCAGACAGAAGAAAATCAGACTTGTCCCTGTGTATTTTAGATCTATGGAATACGACCTTCTATCAAAACATTGACAAATGAGTCATCAGTCAAATCCTCAGTGCTTGATTAGTTATATATTTTATTTCAACACTAATTGCATAGCGTTACATGAAATAAAAGAAAAGCAAGGCCAAAACATGAACCATCGAAACACTTGATACCTTGAATGAGGCAAGGACAATGAGGTCGAATGTTTGATACAGGCAGGCGTAAGCAGACACATCCAATATGCAAATGTAGATCAATTCAATTATTGTCACGTGCCTAGTTGGAGATCGGAACTTAAACCAACGAAACTACTAGGCTTATTGAAGAATATAGTATAAACACATATCACTTTTAATCGCAATTAAAAATATATTGTGTCGTAAACTTTTCCGTCAGCTGTCGTAATTTCTCTTTGAGATTTCCATATACTGTAAAACGAGAACTTTTAACGCAGTTTTAATATTGGAGTTTTTCGCGCATAATAATTATATTGCTGAATTATCAAGAATGCTAAAATTTACATGTAGCATGTAAAGGCAACTGATTTCAAACTAACAACACTCATTGTCTATTGTGCAGAGAAATAATTTCAAAGTATTGGGAATTCTGTCATCTTGAACGATTTAGTGAATTGGTCATTGTTCTACCAGACTCTTATTCCTATATCGTGTTGAGGAAGAAATCATTCTCCTGTATGGGTCATTTCATTGTCAACAAGTAACAAGGGATATATTGAATCCAAGCGAAAATATGGGTGCAATAAGTCATGGATGACGAAAAATCATACAATAACAGATTAACTCCATACTTACCATCTCGAACACCAGTTTCTCAGTCGCCATACCCTATTCATTACTATCTGTAGAATTCACTGTTTCTGTTGAGTGAGTATTTCTCGATATTGGGAATTGACCCATTGTAGATATCAGTCTATCATTATCCACTATAGTGGACACAAGCATTATTTTTCTATGGAGATGATTTAAGGATTTTTAACTAAAAATCATCAAACTATAATATTGATATAAAAAGTCTGGTAACTTTATTTAATTTACGCACCATTGCTAGAGAAGAAATAAAAAATTGAGTACCAGAGAAAATCTTTGACTTATATTAGAGAAAAATTTTAAAAAGAAAAACCATAAGTGAATTGTAAATTCTGATTGAAAAAGTTTGAAGATGCAGGATATTAAAACCTGTTCATACACCAGATTTTTCCATCCCTAAGTGTATTGAATATGTATACTATTAAAACCATTCTATAAATGAAGCCTTTTCACCCAAATTATACTTCCAGTGTGTATTTTTCGAGGGATGTTTCTTTTTTAAAATGTCTCATATTGTGATAAGGAAATATAGAATTTAGTCACTGGAAATGAAATCTTTTCAAAGTAAAAGAGGTTTTACATTATCTTGGTAATAATGCTGCAATCTGTGTGAAATATGAGAAAAACAAGGATTTGAAATGACATTGTTATAAAGATAAAAAAAAACTATTGAGAGGGTATTGGTGTGTAGTCGACTATGGTAGCGAGTAATTTATAACCCACACCTTCCATTAGGTACAGGTGTGAAATATCCGGTACATGCTTTTACAACATGGTGACACATCTGAACAAAGAAGACAAAACAAGGATAACTATAGTTGTGATATTGTAATTTTACCTGTAAACCATGCAATCATGTCGAACTTATTGATCAAGTGTCACTAATAATAGATACCAGGATTTTCCCTACACACGCTAAATTTACATAGGCAAGACAACGTCCTCAACTCGCAGAACCCTAAATATCCACTGCGTCAAATCAAAGATTTTTACAGTAGGGATAGCTTCTCGAATATTTAAGGAACTGCGCGCATAAAAACAAAAGTTGAGCATAGAAGGATGTGCTTATCGGTAGATGGAGAGAATCTCGTCCGGAAATTGCATCAGCGGACCCTATTGAAAATAGTTACGACTGAAGAAGAAGTCTGTTGTGGCTTTGATTCCGAGATCTTTAGTTACTTTTCTGATGGAAACTATCAAACTCAAGGAAGACATTGTTTAGAAATTTAATCATCCCAGGATTGCATTTTCTGTGAAATACTAATCAGGTGGTAATGTTTGCTCCTTTTTTGCTAAGTGGCGACGGGGTTTGGTGCGGTTAGTTTGCTTAGAACGTTGGTTAGAGAGTACTTAACACTTATTTCAATATTTTGTTGGCATATGCTATAAGCTTTGCATTTGATTATTAATAAGGAGAATCGGTCGGACTGTCCTCCCTTTGAATTGGTAACTGCAGTTTTTAAAAGAAACATGATATGTGTCATGTAGTATTATACAGAACATGTTCATATTTTTGCCCTGTTTACATTGTGGTATATTTCAAGTCCAAATGATAATTATTTACATTTTAATATTTAAACTCCTGTGTACTACTTTCATCACAATGTCCGCCATTTTAATAATCTAACAGTTTTGTTCATGAATGGTATTTCGCATAAGAGACACTAGTCAGACGTCGATAATGAAACATATGAGACTTTTATTACATCAGAACTTGTATTCATATCCAAACAGTATAAGAAATCTTAACACGGTGATAACGTGTATCCAAATTTCTGCAAGCAACGTTTCCTGTGATCATGATTATTTCCAAATCCCAACAGACGGTCCTGTGTCAGGTACAAATGTGTCCTTTGCGCCGACTTCTCGTGAACTAATTGTCTCGATGGAGAAGTAAGACGTGAAATATATGATAAACATTCATATAATCTCCCATATGGCCTATTAATGGCATTCTCTTAATTCACATCTATCATTCGAGTTAGTGGTACTCCTGAAAACAGGGATTGTTAGATTGTCAGCTTCTTGACTGCTTTGACGTTCTTGTCGCTCTAAATATGCTCTTTCTGTTTTTGTTTAATCATATCCTGAAACTGATGTTCCATCAGTCTGACGACACTTTCTTTCTTCCTTGTTTGATTTTGATATTAAGTCTCATGAAGGGTTTTCCTATCCTACCCTTGATGTCCTTGAAGGTTATTCATAGGAATTAGAAAAAAACCAAAATCAGATGAACAAGATATGGCGAAGTCTAAGTGGTGTTGATTGCTATTACCTTGATTAGCAGTAAGAACAGGTTAGCCTCTTATCGGTTTACAGTTATCAGGTTTCGTATTATGCTTCTTTGTATGAATTATGATATTCCAGTGTGTTAGCGTTTTAGAATGGATCTAATAATATAGTGACACCATCATCAATTAACATTATGGTTTATTTTTATCAGTGTATTTGGTTCCATCACCAAAAGCTCAACTGGGTACCTTGTTACTTCTAGTTTTACTCTAAAACGATGCGCTATATATAGATAGCTACGTAAATAGTATTAGTCTGATTTATATAACAATCCATTCGACCCGATTCCATCATAACTGGACACATTTAAATAAGAAGAGTGTCAAGTAGCACTCTTCTTTCGTCAGCGACCCCAATTAGCTTGCAAAATATATGGCTTTCTTCCGACGATACTTGACAACGCCGGAATAGCAATACTTTCCATTAATCAGCACTTGTAACATATCATTCAGGTCATCATTATGGAGATATCTTTACACTGTAATAATAGAGAAACATTGGCTGTAAATATCAGAAATACACAATCGGATGCGGTACTCTGACATTTCCATTCTGGTAACCAACGAATGACAGGACATGTTTCAAACTATGTTGGCTGATATGAAATAATGCTCGTAGTCGATAACAAGTACGTCACGATTCATTCGCCGACAACAAGAGCATATTCTGTCAGTACTGAAAGCGAGATAGATAAAGGATAATTGTATTGACGTCAGATTTTGTAAAGCATTTTATTGCGTTGTTCCTTATTTTAGATTGGTGGACTGAACAACCTTAAACACATATTTGTATTTATACTGAAATGAGTGTAGAAAAGGAACACATATGAATACGTCAACAAAATAGTAATATTTCATATTTATAAGTTTTCAATGTCTTCTTAAATTCATGTTATATTGATTTTTTTATATTCAGAAAGAATTTTCAAAGCGAGTTTCGCTTTGTCTTAAAGTAATTTATTGTAGTCAAGACGGAACACAGATAAACCCTTATATTCATGATAAATTATATACATATTATTAATCATGAATTGTATTGAATATAATATTAAAGACATTGCATAAAGTCATTACCGTCACTAATTCAATAGTTGTGACTAGCCCTGTGGTATTTATATATATCATCTATGCTTTCGATCTCCTGTGGATGTGTCCTTGGTATCTAATACAGACTATCCGGCGAATGTACAAGAGTTTAAACAAAAGATGTAATCACTTTCGCATGAAATTTTCACCTGTCACATCTCATACTGAAAACATCAAAGATTAGTCACTTCACTAGCATAACCTGCTAGTTTCCCATGAGGTCTATAAGATCTTGCTTATAAAGTTCCAATTATCATGATTTTCGTGCAAGAAGTCGTCAACTGAAGGACAAACTCGTAATACAGGGTTTCAAAAGATGCAGATTGAGAAAAAAATTGCGGGTCAGTTTTACGATTGTGATCTCATTGAGAAATATTCTATTTCGGTGTATCATTTCAAGCTGCACGTGTTTGATGCTCGTTAGCTAGCCTGTTGG